CAGGAATCGGCACGTCTCGAGGTTCCTTCTTCACTGCTTTTGCGCAAGAATTGACCCGTTTTTGAACGGATTTGTCACCTGTGATGAAAAATGGATCATGTATGATAACAGGAGACGTTCCGGACAGTGGTTGGATTTGGAGGAACCACCGAGGTAATTTTCAAAGCCGAACCCTCACGAAAAAAAAATTCTGGTCTAGCGTCTTCGCGTGGTCATCGGCTGTGTAATTCCAGCTTACTTTTAACCAGGCCGAAATCGAACGTAGAACCCTACTGTGAAGGAATCAACAAAGGTATCGAAAATTTTGTCAGCTGCAGCCAACACTTATCAAAGAAAGGGTCCGATTCCTTTGCATGACAACGCCCGCCCACACGTTTCACAAATCACTATCCATAAATTGAACGAATTGGGAGTTGAAGTTCTACCTCACCCACCATATTCTCCAGACCTTTCACCAACCGACTATCACCTTTTCAAACATTTTCAGAACTTCCTTGCTGAAAAATACTTCATCAATTAGGACCAGGCAAAAAAACCTTCGTCATTTCGTGGCATTCCTTCGACACCAGTTTTTCCTTTTATGGGATTTCTCGACTGCTGTCACATTGGCAAAAGTGTGCTGATTCGAATGGTGCCTATTTCGATTAAATCCGATGAGTATTAAAAAAGTTACGATCGCTTAAAGTGAAACACCCAAAACGCTGAGAACTTTCCGGACAACTAATAGTTTGACTTGAGCTCTCGCTAGTTGACAGCGTTCTGTCACGCTCAACTAACCTCCAAGCATCTTCCTTCATCGGAGAACCCCATCGTTTGGTGCTGTAGCAGGAAAAATCGTATTTTTCCTAGAACAAAAACATAAGGCCGCGTTCATACCGTGCGACGTCGACGTCAACGTCGACGAAAGCTGCGTAAGCTGCGTAAGTTGCGTAACCGACGACAGCTAACCGATCGATACGTATCTATTCTTCTCGAAGTTGTCGTCGGTTACGCAACTTACGCAGCTTACGCAACTTACGCAGCTTACGAACTTACGCAACTTACGCAGCTTTCTTTGGATCGATACGTATGTGTTCTTCACGAACAGTCGCAACTTACGCAGCTTACGCAACTTACGCAAAAGACGTCGCACGGTATGAACGCGGCCTAGGATCGCTCCCTTACAAATCATGATCGGTTTTTGATCGAGGCGTCACTACAAACGGACAAATGGTGCGTTGGTATAGCCTTGTAACATTAGAAATTACACTACTGTTGAGAGTTCCATATCTACAACGTCAGACTTCATTGGAGACTGAAACTGCTCTTTCAGAGCTACGGTGAACGTCTAGTTTACGATGCAATAACGCTTCTCTGAACTGCATGCTCTCAGAACCCTGCCGAACCCAGTGGTAGGCACAGTGCTACGCCTACGGCTTTTCAAAGACAGTTCCCACTATCAAGTGATCTGCGGAATGCTTCCGCGCAGATGGGATCCAAGTCCAGAATCGCGTGAAGAGTACCACTTAGGCCTTCCGAAAGGGCGAGATAAAGCTGCAACTGAAGCGCGACTCTTATGCACTTCATTCTTTTCAGTCTGCAAGACGGCGACTTGCCGGTAAACTACGTGCTTTCGTTCTGTTGCCTGGAGGGTCGTACGACAATTTCACAGGCTCGTCGCCTAGAATCTTAGCTTGTCGACACTTTCGTGAACTTACTTGTTGCTCTGATTTCTCATTTAAAAACAATCAAGCAATAGCAGTCATTTTCACAAGCAGGGCACATCGTTGTTGGGGAATCCCCAACAGGGGGGGGGGTCGTATTTGGGCTGAGAAAAATTTATTTTGATAGTTGATTTTTCTCGCTTCACGGACGTTGTAAGAGGAGGGGGGATGTCGTACTTGCTCGTTGTTCTAGGGAGGTCTTATTCACTTTTGTTTACTTTTTGGCCTTCTGGGAGAGGTGGTTAACTTCTCGTTATTTTCCTGTTTCATGTGTACTATATGCACTATATACCCCCTCCTCGACAGCTCGATGAGGAGGGACAGAGGGCCGGAGGGGGGGGGGTCGTA